GAACTAACTGGTGCACACAGGAAACTAAATGGTGTGCATGAGGAACTAACTGGTGCACACAGGAAACTAACTGGTGAACATGGGAAACTAACTGCATGAGAAACTAGCCGGTGTGCATGAGATACTAACTGGTGCTTACAAGAGAGTAACCTGTGTGCAAGAGAAACTAACCTGTGCAGACAGGAAGCTAACCGATGCGCATTAGAAACTAACTGGTGGGCACGAAAAACTAACCAGTCGGTAGGAGAAATTAACCGGTGGGCACGAGAAACTAACTGGTGGGCACGTGAATCTAACTGGTGCGCATGAGAATCTAACCTGTGTGCACGGGAAACTAACTGGTGTGCACGGGAAACTAACTGGTGTGCACGAGAAACTAACTGGTGTGCACGAGAAACTAACTGGTGTGCACGAGAATCTAACCTGTGTGCACGGGAAACTAACTGGTGCGCATGAGAATCTAACCTATGTGCACGACAAACTAACTGGTGTGCACGAGAAACTAACTGGTGCGCACGAGAATCTGACCTGTGTGCACGAGAAACTAACCGTTGCCACAAGACCATTTTTTTTTTTTCTCTTCAGCGTCCCTCAATTCTTTACGTCCCCCATATGTAAAACAGTGGTGCTGAGATGCTGTGAGTTTAGAAGCAGATTCTTGACTCTGTTTGTGTGGTTCTTAGGTTCTGCTGGAGCTGCTGCAGGTTGGGGGGGTGGTCCAGTTCAATGAAGAAAGACTCTTCACTCTTGCAGAGAAAGCCAAGTTGTAAGTTACCATCCAGACATGATGATGATTATGATGATGATGATAATTGTTCTTTTATACAGTTGACTGAAGGTAGGAAACCCGCTCTGTTAATCCGGGTTCCACCAGAACCTTACGTTTTCTGCCCTCCGCATAAAGGTTAAAGCAGCGTCATGGATAAGTCTAAGGGGCTGTAGGGTAGCAGGATCTGACCCATACCTTAAACGATGGGTTATTATGTAATATCAACCCTGGCGAAAATGTTTTAGATTTTTTTTTCTTTCTTTTTTTTTATCTGTTTACTCATGACAGTAATAAATGAGTCGCCATGATAACAAAATTCTATTCTCTCTGACATGAAACTGTGTCTTCATTGCTCTGCTGCCTCCAGCTACCAGATCTGTGAGTTCCTGTATGAGAAGAAGCATCTGTATGAGCGCATCGTGGACTGCTATCTGAGAGACCCTCTGCGTCAGGTACGGAAGGGGGATGCTTCAGGGTTAGCAGTGCGGTGGTCTGATGGGAGTGAGATCCTCTGGATCCCTGATGATAACAAAAATGTTATCTTTAACATTTTCTGTGATTCTGACACCAACTCATGCTAACAGCTGTTAAACGTAGCAGCTGTAAGTAACTGAGCTAGCTGTACTCTAGACCAGTGGTTCCCAAAGTGTGGGGCGCACCCCCTAGGGGGGGCGCAATGCCATTGCAGGGGGGGCGCGGGAAGCGGTATGAGTGAAGAAAAAAAAAAAAAAAAAACAGCGCTTGCTTGACTGAGCATAATGGACAGTTGTGACACTGCAACCCAGATTTGAGAAGATCTACAGCAAAAAGCAGGCTCACTACAGCCACTGAAAAGATGGGAGGATTAAAGTACAAAGAAAAAACTCTCAGGGAGCTGTTCAATGTTTTCACTCCATTTTGCACAGAGGCTTTTTTAATGTATAGATTATAGCAAAGTTAAATATTGTTACAAATAAAAAAAAAGAAATATGTTTAAAATAACACAGACAACAAAGAATCCTCTTCTAATCTACAGTATAGAACTATGAAAAAAATACAGTTTCACAAAAGTGTTCCACTGTAAAGATGGTGTAGTTTGTTTTGTTGCAACCTGAAGTGTGAAATAAACTTCAGTGGAGTTTGAAAACAAAATATGTGTATAGATTTATTATATCTGGTTGAACGATGTGTGTGCCCAGTTGATTTTTTTTTTTTTTTTTTTTTTTTTCGGGGGGGGGGGGGGGGGGGGCGTGGATATTTTATTGTAATCCAAAGGGGGGCCCAGAAGAAAATCTTTGGGAACCACTGCTCTAGACTAACAAGCGGATGTTAGCCTGTTTGGTAAGTCAGGCTATCGGCTCCGCCCACAGCCAGCTGTCTGCCAATCCCAGCCTAGAATGTTGTAGTTTTTAAACCGCCTTCTGGACGACTTGGAGAGAAGCAGTGAACCTTCTTTCAGCTAGCTGACAGACAGTGCACAGCAGTAGCTAGGTGGGGGTCAGCCATGTCTGAAGAAGACAACAGCTGCCCCAACTCCCCCAGTTATCTTTGAACAAAATGTACGATTTTCTGTTATAATTGTGTAAATGGTCTTTTTTTTTTTTTTATTTTAGTCTGAAATCTTCAGCTACATCCACAACCTGATGTCCATGCCAGGCTACAGCTCTGAAGAGAAGCTAAAGGTCAAACAGAAGGTGCTGCAGCACATGCAGGTCAGGAACTGGGCTGTTAGTGGTCAGATTATAGCAAAGGAAGATGGCTAAGTGGAGCTGGAAGGATGATGATTTCATCCGCAGTCATTCTTTGTATCCAGGCTGATTAGCTTGTTGTGTTTCCAGGAGTTGGTTAGCCTGTGTCCTGCTAAGTTAGCCGACCTGGTGACGTGGCACTTCGCCGATGAGGTGCAATCCATCATCTCTTCGCTGCAGGTAAACCGATTCATCGGGATCACTTCAGGCCTTATGCAACACAGACACCACCTTCAGTTTTTCATTCTTTCCACATTTTAGACCCGTTATCCTTTAGCCCGCCGCTTCGGTAAGATATGTGTCTGAGGGGAAATCAGTGAGGAATAATCAGTAACTTGGTGACATGACAGGGAAAGGTGGAGTTCACACCACGTTGGGTCCGCTTTAATCTGACCAGGGTTCCTTCTCCCCTCAGTCTGGATCAACACCAAACAACAGATCCAAACCTATTAACGGAATCTGATGCATGAATGGAGCCGATATTGATCCCAGCCTAACCAGTAAAAAGGTGTCTTTCTTTGCACCTAAAGTTGCGCCATGCCAAAACTTTTTTATCATGAGATTCAACTCATATCATGATGAGAAAAAAGTCATAACAAAAATTGTTATGACTTGTGATATTAATGTGATATTAATGTGAGGCAAAAATCTTTTTTTTAAGGTGAAAGCTTTGATGGAGTTATCATCTAGAAGACTTAGAGTAGGAAATGTAATCTTAAAGGTATAGAGGAGAATCTTTTATTTCAGGATGGATCATCATCCTAACTTAATTATTCTGGTTACATGGTCACGTAAGGCCGCCCTACGTGCTCGTCCCGTTAGCTATCTTTTTCTACGCATGCGCACTTTCAGGCTTTTAAAAGTGTCTACGAAGTTAATGGAAGAAAAGAAAGGCATTTAGAAGAGGCAGATATATCCCAGAATGCCTTGCATGGAGCGCTCCCCTTGCAAAGCATTTTGGGATTTGCTGTCACAGTGACCCACTGTCGCAATATGCTACCCATCAGCAGCAACTAATAAGTAAGATGGCGCAGGCACCGTGCAGAGGGGGAGGAGTTATGTGACCAACGGAGCAGAAAGTAGTGATCATCTGTCTGAATGGTCAGTTAGGTTAGTTCACTAGAGGTCCAGCGTCAACCAATCAGAAAAGCTGATCCAGGAGTTTTTTTGGGGGAGATAAACTCTACCTGCCAGCTGTCTTCGCTTCTGCAGACATGCTGCATATGAAAAATATATAAATGTCATGGAGTTAAACTCCAAAAGTTAAAAAGCTGATAGAATGGATTGTTATGTAGAAAGAACAGAGTGGCTTCTGCTCCAAGGCTTCTCTAAGTCCCTCTGTGTCCTCTCCTTTTATTTCTGCCTCTGCAGGACGACCAGCTGCTCTTCCAGTTTCTCCGCTGCCTTCTGGAGCCTCAGTACGGTTTGCCCCCTGCTCACACACCTCCCCCCCTGCTCACCCAACCCTTTCTCCTAATCCTGGACCCGTGGATCTCTGTGTTCTCCTCCTTCTTTACAGGGAAGGGTCTCAGCCGGCATCCCTTCTGCCTCTTGACCCTGAACTCTATGAGCTTCTGCTGGACCTGATGTGCCGGTTTGAATCCCAAGAGCTTCTGAAGTTCCTGCAAACATCTCAGCATTACAGACTAGACGAGGCTATACAGGTCAGTGGTACTTGCACATTCTCATGTGCTTGTAAACTCGTGAAACATCATCAGCCTCAGCCTTAGTACTGTTCCAATTAACAAGAACAAGGAAGATTGAGAACGGAAAAAGTCCCTGGATGTTGTTCTCGCCCCTCCCTCTTTACCCAGCATGCATCAGAGCAGGCTTGTCCGTTCTTGAGATTGACAGCTGTCCCAGAATGCACTGGGGCAGCAGCAGCTTCCAGATGAGCGCTCACAGAGCTCAGAGTATTAAGTTAAAAGTTCTCTTTTCTGTTGCTCAATAAAAGTACGTTTTAAGATAATTTGAGGCGAGAACATTATACTTTTATACGTTAAAGCATCACTATATGACCCATTTACTGATTTAATGTGTAGTATAAAAATAGATTTATGAAGTTGAGAGGACTGCAGCAGCCAGCGGACCTACGAGGGTAATTGCAGCCAGGGCTAACATTAGCCCATCTGCAGCAGCCAGTGCTAACGTTAGCTCATCAGCAGCAGCCAGGGCAAACATTAGCCCGTCTGTAGAAGCCAGGGCTAACGTTAGCCCATCAGCAGCAGCCAGGGCTAACATTAGCCCGTCTGCAGAAGCCAGGGCTAACGTTAGCCCATCAGCAGCAGCCAGGGCTAACATTAGCCCGTCTGCAGAAGCCAGGGCTAACGTTTGCCCAGCAGCAGCAGCCAGGGCTAACGTTAGCCCATTAGCAGCAGCCCTCTCTCTGCATAGCCGTGTGTGAGGACCGCTGCCTCTGATGGCAAGTTTTTTGTTTTATTTGGAAAATGTTAATTTGATTTGTGTTTATCTGGCTGTGTTAATTATTATTCCCCAATAAATCAAAAAAGTAAACATTTATTATTATCTAGAGACTATTAATAACAGGAGGTGAAATGCAGTTCCAGACTAGCTTTGAATGTAGTGATGTCATCAGTACGCATCTGTTCCATTTGACCCAGATTTATGCTGCGTGCTCCTGTTCTCCCAGAGTCCACACTTTCATGTCTTCTTCTAAAGAACACACTTGGCGAGGACATGAGTCCATACTGGCGTTCTTTTGAATTGAGAAACGGCTTTTGTCTCCAGATAACGCAGAAGTACGGCTGTAATGAAGCCAAGGCCTACCTCCTGGAGAAGAAGGGAGATATCCATGGAGCGTTTGCCTGCTTGCTGCAGGTACAGATCATACAGGAGCTGATGACTTTTATTTCAGACATAGCTGCTCTAAATGTTTCTTCTCTCCTCTGAAGACCCTGAAGGAAAGACTGCATGTCCTGTCAGCAGAGGTGAGCCGTGACGGAGAAGGAGCAGCTGACAGACGAGATGATAAGGAGCTGGATTTAACACTGATGAATGTCAGGAATTCATTGAACCAAATGATTCTCTTCTGTCATCGGAACTGTCAGAACCTGGACCAAGAGCAAGGAAAGGTAAGCAGAGTGTTTTCACTGTGGGAGCTCCATCACTGCAGCTAATGCTACCTCCACCCTACAGGACCTGTGGTTCCCACTGCTGGATGCCATGATGGCCTCACAGAAGGAAGTGATGGGGCTCAAGGATAAACACGTCTCAGATGGTAAACATGCAACCAGGAAGCAACCCTTTACGTAAAGAACGTTTCTGTTTCACAGCGACACAAACCTGACAGAAAAACTGGTGAAGTTTTAGAACACCTATAATTTATAATTGTATAATAATAAACTTCTGCTTTAATTTAAACTGTATCATTACAACAATGTTGTTAGAAAATATTTTTAAGTTAAACTTTCAAACTCCAGAACCATAAATGTAATCAAGAGTAGACCCCCTATAGGGCTCGGGATCCACGTTGCATTGTGGGACGTCGCGGTCATATTGACGGCTACGCAAACGTAAACATAGCT